TGAGCCTGGAAACCACCTCAGATACAGCTGCCCTGTTGAGTATGAAAAACATATCTGCCTTCAGGTAAGGGTCAAGTTTTCATGTATTTAAACCAGGCGTCTGTTTAATATTCCTGTCAAATTTTAGAGTAATTAAAATTTGGACTCCACAGACATAGACTTGCTTGTAGCAAACTTGTAGAAAGATTAATCTAGCTGTAAACACTTGGCATACATTTTTAAACCTTCCTTAGGTTACCAAGAACATAAAAACAAAACCCTCACCCACTAGTTAGGGTCTTTAGACTGTCTGTGTGTATATATTATGACACAGAAGTATGTAGTTCTGAAAATCCCATTTTCTTGTATTTAATGTTGTAAAATTATAAAATTGCAGAGAATATTTTTTCTATTCTGATGCCTGTTTATGTGCCCCACACTTTTCATCAGTTTTACCATATTCATTTTCTTTACTAATTTACATGTATTTTAGAAATGTTACAGTGCTAACTGATGAAAACTAAAACCTTTTAAAATGTGAAATTTGTGACTCCTGCTGACTAATTTTACTTCCTTTTTATAAGTGTAGTTCAGGTTTTTGAAATAACGGTTTTGCTAAATACTTAATCCTCCCTTAGAGTGGTAAAACTGTGAACTTGAGATGGGGAAAAAGCGTTTTAGGTAGGTTTGCTTCTGCATTTCTTTCAGTTAAAATACCTAAAACTTAGAGCTATTCTAAACCTCTTGTCTTTGTCTGCCTGATGCTCTGAACTGACAGCAGTGAGTGAGTCTAGAAGTTCATGTTCTCCACGATAGTAATATGTTAATTTAAAAGTTGACCCTCCTTATCTGCTGTATAATTTGAGTTTTAAAGTTTCTGAATTCTTTCATACAAAAAGAGCCTCATTTACATGAACTGGTATGATTTGAGCTCCTTAAAAATCACAGTATAACGATGGAAGGAGATAATAAGTGGGCTAGTTACATAAGAGGCAAGGGATGTGTCCCTTAGGGAAGGACAGAGGGAGATGTAGGCAGACTCCCTCCACCTCTTGTATTAAGAACCTCCTTGGAGAAAAGAGAGTTACAGGGAGGATGAACCTCAGTAAAGGGAGTGGAAGAAACTAGTAATTCACAAAGCACTAACAGAAGGCCTATGGCCAAACTGGACAGATTGCACCTGATCTCGGAAGCTAAGCAGTCCCGCGCCCAGTTAGTACCTGGATGGGAGACCAGGGAGACCACCCTTTGGGAGGATGAGAATAAGATGGGATTCAATACTGGCAAGTGCAGGGTACTGCACCTAGGGAGAAAGAACCAGCAGCATACCTACAGGCTGGGGCACTCCCCTCTTGTCAGCACAGAGGCGGAAAAAGATCTCGGAGTCATTATAGACTCCAAGATGAACATGGGCTGCCAATGTGGGGACGCAGTCAGGAAGGCTAATCGTGCCTTGTCATGCATCCACAGATGCATCACAAGCAGGTCCAAGGAAGTGATCTTCCCCCTGTATGCGACACTGGTCAGGCTGCAGTTGGAGTACTGCATCCAGTTCTGGGCACCACACTTCAGGAGGGATGTGGACAACATCAAGAAGAGGGCCACTTTCATGATCAGGAGTCAGCAGGGCAGGCCCTACAAGGAGAGGCTACAAGACCTGAACCTGTTCAGCCTCCACAGCAGAAGGCTGAGAGGGGATCTGGTAGCTATTTGTAAACTGGCCAAGGGAGACCAGCAGGGAAGGAATAACGGCCATAAGTTGACTGAGAGTAGATTCAGGCTAGATATCAGGAGGCACTACTTCACAGTCAGGGTGGCCAGAATCTGGAACCAACTTCCAAGGGAAGTGGTGCTCGCTCCTACCCTGGGGGTCTTCAAAAGGAGGCTAGTAATTCACAAAGCACTAACAGAAGGCCTATGGCCAGACCGGACTAATTATACCCGATCTCAGAAGACCCCTGTCGTTTGACCCCAGCATTCTTTCCTGCCATGGCAGGGGGTCGGACTTGATGATCTGCTCAGGTCCCTTCTGACCCTATCAACTATGAAACTAAGGGAAGTGGAGGGGAGAGGGATGAGTTAGAGGGAGAGGGCATTATGGAGCTGAGAACGCTAGGTCTGTGAGGTGTGTTTATGCTCCTCTAATATTTACCTGAGGTGACATAGTAAAGGTAATCATATCCAAGAGAGCCACATGGGAACTAGACAGTCCCACAAGAGAGACTTTTGGTCCTAGCAGATGGCTGATTTTAAGATCAATACTTGACTTTGGGCAGAAATGAAGCCTGGCATTCTCCTTTCCCCCAGGGGGCACCAAAGGGCTGCTGCTGTGCTTGGGAAGCTGCTGCCTGTGAGGATGCGAGCACTGTTGCGGCGTGCCCGCAAATCCTTCAGGTGGGAACACTAACATTATTGCCTCAGGTGAGATGAGAATCCAGTGCAGTGAGACAAAGGGCATTCATGGGAGGACCACAATAGCAGTAGCCCCCACCTCCTATGCTGTCCCCTTGAACTTAAGGCAGGGCAAGTAAGGGCTGGTTAGATGGAACAGTAGCAAAAGTGCCCTGCCCTGCGTGTAAAAGCAGCCCAAGTAGGTGAGTGGGCAGCCAGGGCTCAAGCTGCAAAGGGACTCATGCACGGCAGTGCCTGACTTCTGGGTGCCGTGCTGCCCTGTGGGCTCTCCAGGCTGCATGGATCAGTGTGGGCAAGTTTGGCCCTCACAGAAACGTGCTGACAGATACCAGTAAGATGAGTGTGGGAATGCTGAGGTGAAAGTAGGCTTAAGCCGCAACCCTCAACGGTATTTAGGCCCTGAAGTCCGGCCAGAGAGGGCCCTGCCTTTGTCACAATGAGTGACCAATCCCACTATATGCAGTAGCTCTGTGGTCAGGGCTACTGCTATACATGGTTTGTGGCCCTGCTGGCAGTTGCCAGATGGCTTGAAACCAGGCTTAATTACCCCGATTAAGCCATTAATCTAAGTTTAAGTTTAGTATCGTATAGATTAATGGCTTCCCTGGGCTTAATCAGGATAATTAAATTATGGCTTAGGGCCAGTCCCTATCAAGCAGCTGCACCGGACTCTGCAGACCCCCAGCCCAGCTCAGCTCCTTGCCAGCAGTGGGTGTGCATATGCTTCAGGGCCAACATCGGGAATGGGGCTAGGGCTGTGCTGCCCACAGCACCTTCTCTTCCGTTGGCCATGAAGGGCATGTGCACCCGCAAGTAGCAGGGAGCCAAGATGGGGCTCTGTGAATCCCAGCACAATCACTTGCAGCCTCCCAGCTGCCTAGCACAGCTAGCCCAGGCAGCCCCTACTGCCAGCCATGGAGCCCAGGCTGCTTATAGCCTCTCTGTTGCCTGCTGTGAGCCCCACCCCATGCTCCAAGACTGTAGGGCTTCTCTCTGCTTACCAGTAAGTTTTCATGGAGCCTGCCATTTTTCTCAGAAAACATCTGATTACTTATTTTCTGCACAAATCACATAATTGCGCTTTTGGTAAGACCCTGTTCATGCTTATGTTCTGTATATTTAGTCTGTAAGCTCATTTGATTATGTTTTACTTTTAATTGAATGTTTCACATTATTGCAATCTCACAGAGTTGAGCTGGAATTGGCTCTGAAAGTGTCAAAGCAGCAGTGTTGAAAGCAAAAAAAGGGCAAAAAAAATCAGGTAAGTTGTAATACTTAATTAGAATTTCCATATGGCTATAGCAGACTTAAAGAATAACGTATCATTAAGAATAATACATCACCTAAACAAAATACAGTTGATTAGGCAATTAGGTAATTCAAGCACTGAACAGATAAGGGTAGAATCTGATAACATGCTAAGATATATTTCAAGTCAAAGATCCCATTTTAATGCTGCTATATCCCCATTTATGTTACATGGCCTATTGCATTAAATCTATCAACTCAAGCTAATATAAGTTAAGAATAAAAAAAGGAAAAGGTGGGAGGGAAACAAGTTATATTTTAAACCTTGCCAGCTGCATTTTTATATATGCATTTATTTATTTACCAAAGATAAATCAGTTCTAAAATTTCTCTTATCCTAAAATTGAAATATTCTTGCTTCAGCTTTGCTTTTTATTCAACCTAACTCTTTAACTTTACTAAACCTGTACTCTATTAATAATTTAAGTTAAACTTAAAACTTAGCTTCTCTTAAACTTGCTTGGGCAACAATGCACAATTCCTAACATGAACAACTAGATCCCACTCCTTCAGTAGAGGTGGCCTTCTGGGGACTTGGATTCCTTCTCTTTCCCTACAGATTTAAAATGAATTGGGTAAAATCAAGGGTGAGCTCCTATATAAAGAAGTCCTGTAATGAATGCGTAGACCTGGCCTACGATGCACTCAAAACAGCCTTTACCTTGTCAACAACTACAGATAAGAAGGTAGGGCAAAGGTTTGGCTATTCTGGTAACTTATTTATTTTAGACCAAATGGATGAATAACCTACAGTTTCCTTAGGTTAACTCACAGAGCAGCTGCTTAAAATGCTTCAGTAAAATGAAAAATAAACTTTCTGTCTTGGATATGGAATAAGCAGAATTTCTGTTTACTGGTTTGTGAGGACTTGGATCTGAAGCACATGATAAAGTTTTTCAGTTTTCTCTTTTAGAAATATATGAAATGTCTTGCCTTTCTAGAGTCTAACAGTGTCAGTGTTTCCTGCTTTTACTTAGTCCTCTTCCATCTCCCAGTGTTCTGAGAGGTTTGGGATTTGCAGCA